TCGCCGAGGGCGCGCGATTTGATAGCGCGAACCGCGGTGAGCGAAGAGTCGCTTAGCGAAAGAAAAAATCTTTTTCAGATCCGTGTCGATTACTTGCGTGTTGGTTGTGATCGTTTTTTTGTACAGAATAATGGTAACGATATAGCACACAATCGAACTGTGGACGCTGTGGCCCATATATTAATAGCAGCTCTATGCTGATCTATTTCGTATGGTGAGTGTAGGGAATCGGAGATCTTTTTTACTGGAAACGAGGCATTCCATCTTAGTCCTCACGGACGACAACGCATCTGCATTTTGATTCGTATTCGAGGATAGATTTAGATGTTTATGGGCCACAGCAACCACTTACCATGAGGCGATCGACGGAAACAAACGAGATGAGGTGCAGCGTCTACCTAATAATATCTTAAATTAAAAAAATGCGGTTTCCAACGCGCCTGCCATGCGTGGCAGCTATGGCAAAAATCCCCCCCCATGAAGAAATCAATGTGGGTAGCCTATATTCAGAAGTGGACTTTTCATAAGCTGTATTTTTTATAGCAGTGCGTGACAAACGAACACACAGTCCATCTGATGGTAAGTGGATGCTGTGGCCCATAGACATCCACATTTATCCTCAATTAAGAATCACAATGCGAATGCGTTGTCACACCTGAGGACTGGGATGGAATGCCTCGACTCCAGTAAAAAGGATCTCCGATTCTCTACACTCACCATTAAAAAAAATTATATAATGGTGAGTGTAGATAAACACTCTAAACACAGCAGCATTACGCTGCTATTTTACGGTGGTATTCTGTGAGAGCACACATAACGTGTCTAACGATCAAAATGTAAAAATACAGAATTCGAATTATTAAAAAAAAGAATTACAATAAATATATGATTTTAATGTCCTACTGGCTGAATTCGATAAAGTTATAATCAAAATGTTTATACTTTGATATTTTTATTTTACATTAATCGTCTTTTAGGACTTTACCCTTTTCGGGTATGTCATGCTGTAAGTGCCTATTGGCCAAATTCTCAAACGCTACTCAATGGGTGCGTTTGGCAGAAAAAAGCGCTAGCAAGCGCTTACAAGCGCTAAAATAGTTTTCGGCCAGGACACGATTGCTACTTCAGTAGCGCTGACATAATCCGCCATTTTGCTTATTTAATTTGTTTGTTTTGAAGTAGAGTTTAAAAGTCTGTTTTGTGCAATATTAGTTTTAAGTAATATAATGACATGAATAAACATATAAATGTTATTAAAAATTCATGATTGGTAAGTTTTTAATCATGAATACTTTACAAACATATATATAAATTAGGTTAGTTCCCCGGTTAACATTAACATCGTGTCCTAGAGGAAAATACTACTTACATTTGACAGCACTTACCGCTTTCGATCGCCATTTTGCTGTACAAGCGCTTGCTATGCGCTTTTTTCTGCCAAACGCTACTCAATTTTAAAATATCGTTAAATCTCGTGATGTCGTAGTCACATTAACTTGGTACTTATGACTTAACTTAAGATTGAGTTCAAAAAAATATCAAATAAAGGTATCAAGTATATGCTTAATATTTGGTTAGGTTGAGGTAACACAATTAATAAAAATTATAAAAGATTATAATAAACGTTGCCTAACCGACATTAACTTACGCTTGCTCATTTGTCAATACATGTCTTAACAGATACCGATCGTCACGCCATCTAACAACAATCACCTAAAACCACTTTTGTAAGCAGCAAATAAGACATAAACAATAATAACTCAAATTATAAAACTGTTGCTCATAGACAGCTTTACAAAGCTTATAAGATATTTGATGCAAAAATTGTACGTGTGTGATGTACCATATACATCCCTAAAAACTAAGATGGAAATACGAGCATAAATCTACGGTTCTCGTCACTCACGATACGAAACGCAAACCATGTATACATTTTTACTATCCTGTGAATTCGGGATCCTAAGAGTGTGGTTAATTAAAAATATTTTTTTAATAATGAAATGAAAATGACTTTGACAGTATAAAATACGTCCTTAAAATAACATATACGACTAAGTAACAACCGAGGCTAAAGCGGGATTTCATTATTAAGATATCTACTAGCCATCTTAATAATGAAATCCCGCTACAGTGCCGAACATGCGATGACAATGACGTCAGGAACAATGGCGTCTCATTAAAAATTGTTTACTCATAAAACAACGTCATAACGAGCAAATTCGAGCAGAACACTGAAGTGGTACCTACTATGTCAGGGACGTAAGCAAGGAAGCGACGGACTAGGTGTGGTAGAGGGTGTGGTGTTGCTTTGTTCTGTGTAATTGATTCCATTGCTGCGAGCCACGCGATGCAAGCGAAATATGTTTCTTTTTTGAAGATAATGTAAATTATTGTTTAATTGACTCTACATCCGTGTTTAAATTGTTAAGTGTTCTATTTATGAAAGCAATTTTGTGCCTTATAATGTTACAGCCGTGGTAGCTCAGATGGTTAACGCTCGCTGTAAATATAACAGAACGCAAGTAACCCGGGTTTGATCCCCGCCGGCATTTATGGGAGAGATATTAATAGGCTGTAGCAATAACACATAGAAATACAGATTACAAATAATAAGTAAGTACAAATTTGACTCTGAAAGTCATCCCTTGCAGACAACTTTTGCGTAGAGGATTGATGAAAACAAAGATAAGTAGATTAGAAGAGTGAGGATGTCCAAAACAAATTGCGCTTGTCTGCCAAAGGTGGCAACTGTGGCAAAACACCCCTATTAGGACAATCTATGTATGCCTTTGTTCAGTCACAGGTTTCTTAACGGTGTAGGTACTATGGTAGAGATCTTTTAAATATTGCTGTTTTGAAACAAACAACTATCATGGACCTTTATTGAATCACATTTTTTTTAAAGTAGAATGAGGGCGATGAACGTGTGCTCGTCCACCTGTTGGCAAGTGGATACTGTAGCCCATAGACTTATACATCTATCCTCGATTAAGAACCAAAACGCAGATGCGTTGTCACCCCTGAGGACTAATGGAATGCCTCGTTTTCAGTAAAAAAGGGTCTCCGGTTCTCCACACTCACCATACGAAACACAGCAGTATTAAGCTGCTGTTTTACGCGGGTATTCTCTGAGAGCACGGTCCTTCCCCGGTCGAGCCGACCCATTCGTGCTTAACCATAATATAGCTGCAGCGTGGCTCTACCACGTACAAAACTTATATCGAAAAACGAACAAAAACTTTACACCTTGAGCACAGTAGGAGGAGGAGGAGCACAGTAGGAGGAGTTAGACAGTAGGCAAAAACACGACAACAGGACTACACGTTACTTGTTAAATTTTTTGACCTATCTACCTATTCTGTGATTCTCCTGATAAACTTTATGTAATTTGATAGAGATATAATTAGATGGATAGAGATAAGATAACCGTGTAGTGGCGGTGTAAGAATATCCACTATCCCATATCATCCCGATCATTTTCCTGATAACAACTCAAAGTAATAAAAAAACTGCAGTTGCCAACCCGCTTGCCAAGCTTGGCAACTATGGCAAAATCCCTAATCTATGGGGGTGGCCTATGTTCAGCAGTACACTTTTGTAGGATGGATGAATTAGATAGACGTTTTCCTATTCTAATGTGACTACCTACTTGCGATTTCTTGTAAGAATTGGGTAATGATTAATGAAATATTGTGCGGCTAATAACAAAAATACAAAGTTTCCGCTACAAAAGCGGTAGGAAATTATTAACATTATAATCTAGAAATAATTTTGTTTTTAAAGTAAACTTTATCGATACAATTAAACCGAACAATGTGGTTGCCGAAAATCGTATTATCCTTAACCGATATACTCGAGGTCGAGAGAAATTCATTACATTATCGATATACGTAATCGACATTCCTACGTACAGACAAGTGGTGCCAAGTGATCGGAAACCAAAACTTATAAGAATGCCGAAGAGACCGGGCCTTGCCCACATTCTTAATAGAATATTAAATGAAGCTAATGACACTTTTTCTTCGCGCGCAATCATAAATTATAAATACACAGTTATTCAGAATTTGAGGGTAATTTGGTATACATACATTATATTAATGTATGTACCGTATTACGATAATATGTATAATATGTATGCATATCAAAATTAAATCAAAATCAAATTTTCGCTCCAGTAATACTTACATTTAAATACATTATTGGAACCATCGATCACTAATAAAAAACTTTTCTTCGTTTCTTCGTTATTTATTAGTGATCGATGGTTGGAACACTTCCTTAAAGCTTGTGCTCCGCTCTTCCCGTCTTTCATTTAGGTAAATTAGTGTATAGAACTTGAGTAACACATAGATGTTTAAGTTATGGTACAACTTATATTATATAGTATTTATATAATAAAATATAAAATATCTGTAGGTATTAGTTCTGTAATTGTGCAGCGTACGTGTATGTGGTGTGTGCATGTTAAGGTGTGGTATAATTAGTAAATTATTAATTATGAATAGCAAGTTAAATAATTATGTCTAAAAGTGTTTCGGTTTCGTTGTAATTTAAAGTTATCAGCCATTCAGTTGTTTTTTTAACTTCTATGTCATGCAATGGATAGGGTAAAGATACCAAAGAGTGCGCAGTTTTGACAGATTTATTTTTAAAATAATCAACTTTTGAGTTCAGTCTTCAATTTTACTTATAATTAGGCTTTTGTTCTTTAGGAACACTTTTTTTTACTCTTATTATTAATCAACATCCATTAATATTTAATAATTAATAAAAACAAGGGCGTGTCTCACGCGCACTCTTAAGGTACAATGACTTAAAGAGTGCGCATCTATGGCTCTTAGTACAAGTTAAGAGTACGCATGAGGGTAATGGAAGCTTTGTCCATGGTGGAACATCTACTTTAACCAACGCAAACGTCACACTTAAAAACTCCGAATCCTAGATAGTCAGAGCACTCATCGTGCCACCAAACCCCACACTGACTACATTGGACCCAGTCTTCATCGGGAGGTTCTACGTAGACTTCGGCACAAAGGGGGGCATCGAACAACTTCTGTACCCGTACTTGTTTCCAGCAGTGTTGGTCTATTTGGTGTCGTAAATTTATTTTTATTTGATGTCTTCTTTGTCTTCTTGGCCTTTTCTTCTTTTTCTTTTTGTTCTGCTTCTATTTGATTTTTATAAGGAGAACTGGTAAGGATTTCTGATTTCTTACGTTTTATGTTTCTTTTTTTCTGAATGTTTGACTTTGGTAATGGTAAGATGTCTTCTGGTCTAAGAAAAGATGATTTGGATGGTGTAGGCTCGTCATTTTCTGGTGTTGTTATTACTTCCTGGTGATTATCAGTTGATTCCAGGGTTTCGGTTCCTCTGAGTTGAGATAATGCTATATCTGGAGCTGAAATATTAATATTGACGGGTATAGGTGACGAGACAACTTGGGTAACAGTTTCTGTAGTTGTAAGTGGCAATTCAACAGCTAGATTTGAACTATTAAGGGCTTCGCCTGTGCTTGAAGTTTCTGCAGTTGGATTGGGACGGTCAGTGACATTTGCAGGAGCAAAATCTTCATCGGAAAAAATCTGATCGTTAAAAGGCCAGATGCCACAAGATTCGAATGATTTCTTAGCTCTATCAATTGAACCAACCTTAAGGTATGCAGTGCCAAATAGTCGAGCAACTTGATATTGAGTTATAGTACGACCTGGATTTGAAACTTGCCAATTGTCACATGCAACTGCATAAGCTTTTTTTAATGGTCCAAAAAATCCTGTATCCAAACTCTGCATGCGATGGCTTGTGTGTGGTGCTAAGCTCAAAAGAACAACTCCATGATCCCTAGCTAATTCAATAGCCTGTAAACTTAAATGAGATGAATGATTATCTAAAATCAAAAGAGCAGGTTCATCTTTAGATGGCTTGACCATCTTAATGAAATGATTGAGCCAGATTATAAATAGATCTGAGTTCATATAACCAGAATCGGATACAAGCTGTAGGGAGTCCTCTGGAGCCCCATCCATCAATTCGGGTTTTTGCCGCTTTCTAGGAAAAATTAATGCAGGTGGTACGAATATTCCAGTAGCACCCATACAGCAAACAGCCGTTACTGTTTGTCCACGTTCTGCGGACACAACTTTTCCTACAATTTTCTTGCCTTTTTTAGCATAAACTTTAGGTAACTTGTTTGGCACTGTCTGGAGGCCAGTTTCATCCATGTTGAAAATTTGTCTGCCAACAAATTTGAAGGTTGTAAGTACTTGTTTTAAATTATCATAAAATCGTTGCACTTGTACACGATTGAATCCTGCAGCACGTGCCAAACTTGTTTTTTCAGGTTGACGGAGACTGAAGTTATGCCGCCTGGCAAAGTTTTCGACCCATTTCTTGCTAGCTTCCTTTTTATCATTATTAAATCTATGATTAAGACCGTTTTTATTTGCTAAATCATAAGCGACTCTTCCTAGCTCCTTCTTCGTCAGACCATAAAAACATGAATCCAAGCGTCGGCAGTGCTCTGCCAAGTTACTGTCTAATTCAGGAGTAAATACATTTGAAAATCTACCTAAAGAGCAAGGAACAGTGCCTGCTTTTAGTCTTTTTCTAAGAGTCGATTCTGGGACATTCAAAGACTCTGCAACTGATCTTTGACTTTGCCCACGGCGTATTCTTTCCTTTGCATCTTTTAAAATTTCTTCAGTAAATACCAATTTTCTATCTGATTTTCTTTTATAACTTGACATATTTGCGATCTATAAAAAAAGAAAAGATATATAATTAAAAAAGCTACTTTGTTCCCCATGAGTTACTACCTAAGAGTGCGCATGCGCACTCTTTAGGTGCGCACTCTTAAGATTCACGCTAATTCGATTGGCTATAACAGTTACAATCATTCCAACAAGATCGCATTTATAACCTTACTTAATAGCAAAATATAATAACCAAATTTCAAGAATAACTCACATATTCAGGTGGCACCCTTATGCAAATCTTGTAATACGTCTTCGAAATTGTTGATGAATAATATTAAAAGTACTCAAAACCTTTAAATTGCAATAATCAAACTAATAAATACCGCACCAACTTGAAAGCGTGCCTACTGATTCCAAGCGTCACTGCCAACTGACAGTTAGCGCAGTGCTGCCAAGTGTTGAAATTTCGTACCATTTAAAAGCTGTGCGTACTCTTTGGTAGTGCGTACTCTTTGGTGTCTTTACCCTATATGCTTAAGATTTTTTTTATTTTATTATATAAGTAAGCCCTTTTCTCATATCTACTAAAGCAAATGTCGTTTTACAGCGATCGGTATATAGAACTATGTCGTTTCTTCTTTTATTTGTCTTGTCATGTACCTGGTAGATTTATGAATTTTAAGCAATAAGAACGAAATATATACCTTTCGAACTGACAACACACCAGACAAATTATAAAGGTCAGTAGTGGGGAATCGGTATGGTTTGAAATAGCAGACCTTAAGCAGGGCTCTTTGAGCTCGCTCCACTTCAAGCAATCTTGTTTTTAAAGCTATGCTTCACGTGGTAGAGCCATGCTGCAGTTATATTATGATTATAGTTGTAGCACGAATGGGTCGGCTCGACCGGGGAAGGACCACGTTCTCACAGAATACCAGCGTCAAATAGTAGCTTAATGCTGCTGTGTTTCGTATGGTGAGTGTAGAGAACCGGAGACCCTTTTTACTGGAAACGAGGCATTCCACCTAAGTCCTCACGGGTGACAACGCATCTGCATTTTGATTCGTAATCGAGGATATATGTAGATGTCTATGGGCCGCAGGTTTACCATCAGGTGGACTGTGTACTTGTTTGTCATCTTATCCTATAAAAAAAGCTCCTTCCCAATACAATAAATGAGAACAGATTGAGCCACTGCTGTGTAACTTTGTTCAGTAATTCGGGGGTTGTTACATGTCTTAACTTTTTGAAAATCCACATTATATTTCTTATGCGGCCAGCTATGAATTCAATTTTTTTTTTTTTTGTATAAAGGATAGGATGACAATACAATGGTTATACTAAGACCGTCTCTGGTCAATAACAACACCTAAATATTTTGTTTTGTCTACACTATTAATAACAGCACAGTCACAGCTAGAAAGCAGGCTGTCTTGGCAAGTGTGTATATTAATGCTGAAGTTGGCTGGTGGTTGAGCGAAATTGTAGTGTATTATTGTTTTAAGTCCCGATTCTGCACGTGTTTTCACTTCCTCCCAAGTGTCTTTCGAAAAAGTAACAGCTGTAGGTCATTTCTCTGAATTTTTCAATGGTCGTATTTTAAGACACTCACGAGACGGTAGACGGCGACGGGATGATGGATAATTTTACGCCACCACCGCTAAAGACCGTCATATAGTATCACATCTCTATAATTCATCCAACATTCTAAGTATATATGTAGGTAAAAAATGTAGATAATAATGACCAATAAAAAAATTTATTCCATAAATCACCACGTTATAATAAGTCTTAATTAATTACATATGAATAAAAACTATGGTTTCCATTTTGCATTACATATAGGGTTGCCAGATGGTCGGGATTCATCTGTATTCTCCGACATTTTAAGTGATCTCAGACCGATTCGGGCTCTGCAAGGATCCCCCAAAACAGCATCACTTATTAATTTCAATTTATAGTACGCCGAAGTTTATTCTTTATTTTGGTATAATTAAACACTTTGAACGTCAAAATTTAGGCTGCGTAAATCATATTCGACAAAACTCGAAATCTCCTGACAAACAGCTCTTCGGAAGGTTAATGTATGGCCTTTGATTTAATAAAAGCTGAGTTAGTAATTTGACTGAACTTTGAGGTAAATTGTACGAATTTTAAATATTTTCTAAATACTACTAAAGCATTTAAATTGGTGGACTCTAGTAAAGTCCAATGGCCAATACATGTGGCAATCTAAATATTAAGTGTAGGTACTTAAATTTGTTTTGTTTAAAGAACTTTTTGTAGCCTCTTAATTAAAAAAATAAACTTTTATTTTTAATATTCATATTCAATATTCATTTCTCTCCCCAACAACCCCAAAATGCTGATTCTACTGATTTGGCAAATCTAATTACATATTAAGTGTACGTTTGTTACTTTTATTCGTAATTTCTATATTTAATGAATAAATTGCATTCATACAAAACAAGTATCCATAATTAATGTACCCTGATTGCATTAAGTGCTTGACAAAAGCCAATTTTAATGGAGGGACGAAAATGCGACCATGGTCTATATTATAGTTTCTCTAAACATTTTATACTAATAAGTAATTACGATTTGTCGGTCGCTCTGGAGCTAAGCAACTCAAAGCGTGTCGGCTAATTAATTAGAACTTGTTCATGAAATACACGTTTTCTTGGAAAAAAAAACTAACTATCAAATATATACTTTAGTTTCGTGCGATAGCTTATCGATGTAAGGGCATTTGAACTCCGATTCCTTGGGTTCTTTTTTGTTAAATAATAACACTTCTTTAATGAGCGGCTATGTTCGTTTTCTACTACTTTATACTACTTTATAATATGTTTTGCGCTGGGTGTTTCGGGTTTGCTACTGTGTTTTGATTGTTTCTGGCTCTAATCTTACCTAGGCTACCTAAAACCTTATCGCATTAATTGGGCACAGGAGTTCTCCCGTTTACACGTGTAGTGACAGTGTAAGAATATCCAAGACAGAAGGAAACAATCTGGCTGGTGCCCATCTCCTGGACTTCCCAATAACATTTAAAATATAAAAAATCGGCGGTCGCCAACTTGCCTGTCAAGCCAGACATCTATGGCAAATATCCCCTATGAGACAATTTTTGAGAGAACTACCTCAGTAATAGACCTTTCCTCATATTGCATGTAGAGACTATAGTAGTTAGTTAATGATTGGCCGACTACAAAAAGGTTTTCAATAAATCGCCTGTATTTCCATTTTCATAGTTTTTTTATAGGATATGGTGACAAACGAGCACACAGTCCACCTGATAGTAAGTGGTTGCTGCGGCCTATAGACATCTACATCTATCCTCGATTGCAAATCAAAATGCAGATGCGTTGTCACCCGTAATGACCAAGATGGAGTGTCTCGTTTCCAGTAAAAAGGGTCTCCGGTTCTCTACACTCACCATACGAAACACAGCAGCATTAAGATACTACTTTACGCTGGTATTCTGTGAGAGCGTGATCCTTCCCCGGTCGAGCCGACCCATTCGTGCTACAACTACCTATACTACTAATATAACTGCAGCATGGCTCCACCACGTATAAATAGTAGATATAATGAATTAATTTTTGCTGATATTTTCAATTAACTGAGTATCCTTTCACAGTGTTCCCATAACATGCACATACCTTAGTATATATTTATATCACCGTAGGTACCTAATTGAAGTTGATTAATATTTTATTTGGTAATTTAATAAATTTTTTAGTAACCCAAAATCATTTTGAATCAATTTATTTATTTGCCTGGATAGGACTTATTGCGGCGTTATTTAGATTACAATTGATCAAAGATCATTTATTTTGTCAATTTTTCATGTTTTATAAAATAGACTTCAAGGTTTCACCGGATTAAATATAGGCTGATTTCCTTCTGGTTTCATCACAAACTGTTTTATCATTCCTCAGATAAGCCCGGTCAGATGGACAAAAATTTTAAAATAGTTACCGTTACCGTCACAGCCTATTGAAGTTTTTTTATAGGATAGTTTGACAAACGAGCACACAGTCCACCTGATTGTAAGTAGTTACTGAGGTCCATAGAGATCAACATCTATCCTCGATTACGAATCAAAATGCAGACACATTGTCACCCGTGAGGACTAAGATGGAATGCCTCGTTTCCAGTAAAATGGGTCTCCGGTTTTCTACGCTCACCATACGAAACTCAGCGGCATTAAGCTACTATTTTACGCTGGTATTCTGTGAGAGCGTGGTCCTTCCCCGGTCGAGCCTACTCATTCGTGCTACAACTATACTACTAATATAACTGCAGCATGGCTCCACCAAGTATAAATAGTAGATATAATTCAATCATTTTTTTTAGTAACCCAAAATAATTTTGAATCAATTTATTTATTTGCCTGGACAGGACTTATTATTGTGGCGTTATTTAGATTACAATTGATCAAAGATCATTTATTTTGTCAATTTTTCATGTTTTATAAAATAGACTTCAAGGTTTCACCGGATTAAATATAGGTTGATTTCCTTCTGGTTTCATCACAAACGGTTTTATCATACCGCAGATAAGCCCGGTCAGATGGACAAAAATTTTAAAATAGTTACCGTTACCGTCACAGCCTATTAAAGTAAACATAGGCCTCCCCTATAGATTGGCGCATATTTGCCACAGTTGCAACGCTTGGGAAGCGGGTTGGCAACCGCAGTTTTTTTTTTTTTAATTATTAGTCGTGATTAGGATATCGCTGCTATCCAGTTCCTTAGTTGTTAATTTGTTTCCCCCAGTCGCCTCTTTGTCGGCTCTTACGACACCCACGGGATGATATGGGGTAGTTGATATTCTTACACCGCCACTACACGGTTTTAAAGTACCTAGTTATTAGTAGTTATTTAGAATAAAAATAAAACCCTCTAAGCTTAATAGAAGCCAGTTATTTACGTGGTAGAGCCATGCTGCAATTATATTAGTAGTATAGTTGTAGCACGAATGGGTCGGCTCGACCGGGGAAGGACCACGCTCTCACAGAATACCAGCGTGAAATAGTAGCTTAATGC